TGAGGTTAAAGATGATTTTCATGGATATAAGTTGGTTTAAGTAATGATGGTTGGGTTTAATGGCATGATAGGTGTTTAAAATAGAGGAATTGAGTGAAGAATTGATGATTTTCGGGTTTAAAATGCAATTTCTAGGTTGTGTGCATCGATGCACATTCAATGTGTACCGATGCACTCTTAAATAATGAACATCGAATGCCATTACTGCATTGATGCATAAGGAGTGCATCGATGCACTCGTTTAAAATACAAACATCGAATGAGATTTATGCACCGATGCATAGGTAGTGCATCGATGCACTTGTCAAGGGATGCATCGATACATGGTGTAGTGCATCGATGCATATCATCATTAAAAGTTAGAAATAACTTTCTTTTTAGCCTAAGGAGTGATAGTTTAGAATATATTAATTAATATATTGATTAGTATCAATGTATTAATATGTAGATATAGAACATAATTTCGTTCCGGAACAAACAAAGGATTAGGATCAAGTCGAAACAAGCAAGGCCAAGGTGAGTGCATTTTATAGTTAAAGTGTATAGAGATAAGACTTGTGATAAGTCTATCTCTGATAGTTGAATTCATGATTGCATATTCATATTCATATACATGCATACCTGTATTATTTCTATAGTGATTTCATACATAATTCATTATGTTTTAATATGATATTATGTGAATGAATGCCATTACAAGAGAAACAATTCAGGTATGTGGATTAATGGAAATAATTATATGTGTTTATATGAAAAGTGATGAAATGAAAATTGTATTCATATTTAAGCCCATGTTATATGATACGAGAGCTATAGGTATAATTGGCATGCCAAGAGTTAAGGGATTATCAGTGGTCCTTCGGGACATAGTGGTTCTTCGGGACATAGTGGTCATTCGGGACAAATATTCAGTGCCCCTTGAGGGAATTATACGAGCTGTGGTAACATCATAGTGTACAACCTCTATGTACTCACATACCTTTATTCTCAATAATGTACATGGGCAATCCAAAGATAAATTAAAGTGGAATTGGCATGAGAATGTATGTGTTATATGTACATGTTATCATCATATATGTTATAGTGTAATCGATACATGAACATTGAAATGTCCTGATTCATGGTAAGAACGCATGTTCATAAATTCATGGTTATATAGGTGAATACATACATTTATGTTATGCCTCACTAAGTCTGTGACTTAGCGTGTAAGTGATTTACACGTAGGTACCAAGAATCAGGAAGAGCGAAAATAGGGTGGCAAGAACAACAACACTGCTAGCGGATCAGATCAGAAGTAATTGATAAAGTATGTATTTTGTCGTATATAGTATGTTGGCATGTAAGTAAAGTGTCAGTTATGAATGCTCTGATCAATTTTGGTTGTTTTGGTCAATCCATGTAAATAAATCGCTTTTATTTGAATGAAAGTTTTAAATTTCCCTGTTTTCTTTAAGTGTCAAAGTTGAAAAGTCAATGTGATACCTCAGACTCGTATTCGGGTCGGATACGGGTTGGGGGTGTTACAGAAAATGTGTTTGGTCAGTGAGAAAGGGATGGAAAATGAGAAGTTCTGAGTTATAAAATGGGTAGGAAAATACAGTGAAAATAGAACATGGGATGTTTTATAGTTTTCCAATTTGATTACTATGAAATTTTGTAAGTTATATATTTGTGGGTAGGTTTTTCATGTGGAAGAACATAGAGAAATCAAGAATTAATGGACTGAACTATGAAAAGATAATAAGATTGTTATGTGAAGAGGGAATGGATGAAGAAGCAATCACGACACCACGTCAAATGGATTAATGATCTTTGACCTTCTTCGAAGATTTACAACTTGATAATCCATGTTTATTCCAAGAATGGAAGTTTGATCATGATGTGTTCTTTCTCAATGAGTTGAAAGAAACAGATTCGAAAACCAGAACCTACACCTAGATGGACTCATCGAAGCATATGGAAAATATAAGATGTTTTCTTTTTTAAATGAAATTCAGAAGAAAGAATGAATGTTAAATTCAATCTATTTCATAAGTTACGTGAGCAAATAGTCTAGCTTGGTGGAAAAACTAGAAGTAATACACCCAAGAGACCCAGGTTTGAGTCCCCCTTTATGCATTTCATCATTTTAACTTTGCACCAATCAGAGAGTGACACGTGTCACTCTCTGTTTGGTTCGAATTAATAATATAAAAAATATAAAAAATAATTTTTTAAAAATGATATGGCAGTGCCACATCAGCGATCTGGATGACCTAAAAGTCCACGTCAATTTTCTCCTCCACTCATGCGACCTATGTCAGCATCCGACGTTGATCGTCAGTTGACTAACGGTTTTCATCCAACGTGGGTTATTTTTTACCCAAAAATAAATGTTCGGTACTCAAATGTTCCAAAAAAACAATACGGATAAATTTGACACTACAGTCAAATGTTAGAGTTATTTTGTTGCATTATGCCTTTTTAAATTATACTTTACTTTTACTTTTAGTTTTGATTTGGTATTCATCGTTAAAAACATAAAGGTGATGTTGATTGTTGATGTATCACCATAGGGCCTGTAAACGAACTGAATGTTCAGCGAACTGTTCGCGAACTGTTTGGCGCGAAGTTCATTTATGTTCGTTTATTTATTAAACGAACAAACATTAACAAAATTTTATGTTAGTTTAATTAAATGAACGAACGCGAACAAATGACTCGTTTGTTCATTTACATTCTTGAACATTATATAATTTGTTCGTTTGTGTTCGTTCATTTATGTTCAACCTAATCTCCATACCAGTTTAAAATATTAAGACCTATTAATATTTTAAAACTCAATGAATTTTAAATCCAAATAAAAAAAATCAGAATCAATTAAAGAAAATATAAACCTTAAAATTATTTGGAAAGAAAAAAACTTTTCTCAAATATAAACCCAATTAATTTTATTTTCGTTTACACTCATTCGTTTGTGTTAGTTTACGTTCGTTCATTTTATTATTTTAACGGACGAACATGAGCGAACACGAACAAGCTACATTCCTTAACGAACGAACACAAATAAAGAGAGTGTTATTCTCCCTTGAGTTTTTAAGTTCGAACAGCTGTGTCTGCATGGTGAGTGCACATATTAATAGTTAAGAAAGATTTTAAACATATACTACTCTTATAATCATTGTACAATGTTAAAAAAAATTACTTGAGATTTTTAAGATTTATGAAAACTCTTTCAAACTCATTCATTTTTCTTTAATATTGATATTAAATAATTAGAAACCTCATAACTAATAAAGTTCACTCTAAATCATTCCATAATTTAAATGAAAAGGGGGAGGATTATTTTGATGTTGTTATTGCATTTTTATGATGGATTATTTGGAAGAATGATCTTTTTGGAATGTAAGATGAACTTAAATATTAGAATGTATAGCTATTATATATATATATATATATATATATATATTAGAATGTGTAGAAATTTATGTTTGACGCTTTATTTAATAACAATAAAATAGAATAACATATTATCATTTAAAAACTGACTAATAATGTCAAAAAATAATATGTTTTAATAGCAATACCTTTTATATGAATTATATTAACTTATGAGGGAAGCCTTTGTTGGTAGGCAATGCATTTATAGAGGTTGAATACGTGAGTGCAAGACTTATTGGCTGAGTTACCAAACCCACAATAATTTTCTTTTTCCACATTGGTTGCTTATTTTGGTTCTAACGTATGAATACATTGTATTTAATATTCAGGGTAAATTACAAAATTGATAACTAAAATTTATTATCTCTCATATTTCACTCACTGTAATTTTAATTTTTTTAATTTATTCACTAAACTTAATACATTGAGTTTTTTTGGTAACTCATTCGTTTGTCACTAACGGTGTTATAAATAGGATGTTATATAGATGTAAAACGATGTCATTTCGGTGAATTTTTTTTTAAAACATTGTTTTAACGCCCTTAACTATTTAACGACGGGTGACAAAATGATATAATGTATTATAAGATAGTGAAGAAATTGACTTTTTAAAGTCCAGTGAGTAAAATATGAGACATAATAAAATTTAGTGATGAAATTGGTAATTTACCGTATTTACATGGAAATATTCCTTTGAATTGAATCTCTCTCTGGATGTGAATAACCATAGCCGTTTTGATACTTTTCTTTTTCTAGATATTGCGAATTTAATGGCATTAAAGAAATGTCCACCCATACCGTGTTGTTTAATTAATTTATTCGATTTATTATGATTTCATCAATTTAATTATTTTATTTATAAAATATACATTTTCAAATAATGATTTTGTCAATAATTTGATGTAGTTTTTTAAATGTTATGGTGTGATGTGTTAGCTTGATATTCTTTTATTGTTAGGGAATTTTTCGCACATTTTAAAAGTGATAAAAGGAAAATAAATTGACATAAAACCTGAAATACAATGGAAAAAAAATTAAATATGAAAAGAATGCACAATAACCAGCATAAATCGATTGAAATGGCAATAATATTTTTTAAACACAAATAATAAGTGATAGGGTAAACTACACCTGAAGTCATTATATTATGAGTCAATTTAAAGTTGGGCTATTCATGTTTTAAAAGGTTACAGTATAATCACTTTATTTTTCAATTATAACAACCAAGTCACTTTGCTATTAAGCATGTATTATATAGAGTAACTTGATTGTAAATAAAAAGTTAATACTTAATGGAAAAGTGATATAATTATTACTATTGATAAACAGAATAACTTGATTATAATTTTTTGAAAATAACGACTCAATTGTAGATTTACTCATAATATAATGACTTGCGGTACAATTTACCCTAAGTAATAGCTGTAGCTATGGAGGTTACTTACAATTGATGCAAAATGGCAAATCGCGTTTTTTAATTCTCCGTTTCCTTGGGCTTCTCGATCTGGTCTACATTGGAAATTTATTTCCTTAAAGATCAGAGTCTTTTCCGGTCTTCGTTTTTAAGATAAATCAGAAGCTAAAGCTAAAACTAAGCCAAAAGCCAAAGCCTGCCATTTTGACTATCATAGTTTTCTCTCTCGTCTTTTCTCTGGTATTGTTTTGGGGTTTCAGAGATCATGGCGTCGCAAGAACACTTGGACAAGATGAAGCTCCGCCAGAACTATCGAAATCTCTGGCACACCGATCTTATGCACACCATTCAACAAGACACTCCTTGTAATTCATCTTTCCCGCTTTTTGTTTTATGCTTTACGTTTGATTGATTTTTTATGAATTTATTTTTTTGCAGATTGCTGCTTGGCTCTTTGGTGGTAAGTAATTCCGAATCTTCCTATTTTTGGTGTTGTAGATTTGATTCTGACTCTCCTGAGTTTCGTTCTTTTGATGTCTTTTGTTGTGTTTAGTTAGCTGCAATAAGGTATCTTTTCGTTAGTAATGGTTTAGGGCTTAACGATCGAAACGTTGGTGACTGGACCGTTGACTCTGCCTGATTTTCGTGTTTCTATTCTAAACTGGATCCTAAAACGTCTTTCCTACAATTTCTCATCCTGCCACTAGGATTTTGATTTCTTTGATATATGATGGGAGTTATGCATAGGGATGGTTCCAGTGCTCTTGAAAATTTTAAATTCTTATATATTTTAGATTTTTTCTTTGTATTTTTATTGATACTTTGTTTTTGCCATGAAATTTTATAAGTTTGACCCCTAGAATTTTAGAAGTTTGCCCTCCTAATATTAAATTCTGGTCCGTCCCTGTTTATGCGCTTTCACCACGGAAATTGAAACCCGCCTCTGGCTTGGATCTTCACCTCTTTTGATCCTGTTTACTTAGTAATTGATGTGCATAATTGACGATTTTCTCCTTCCCTCGATGTTTTAGAACATCTAACTTCTAATCATAATTTTTTGTCACCAATACATTGTTGTTTTTCTTTCACTGCAGTGGACCATGTGTATCCTACATGCTCCGGAAACGAGCGCTTTATAATGACATGTCAAGGTAATTTCTGTATTCGATCCCTCTTTGATTACTAGTTGAAGAAGTGATATTTTGGCTTGAGCATCCCTGTTTGTTTTTGTTGTAGGTATACATGTTGCGCTGGTTATATGCCATGCAGTGGTAGGTGTGGAGAACGTAAATGTCCTGAGTTTTGCCTTTGCACCGAGGTAGGAAGTTTGTCTATATGCTCTCTAGTCTCTATGGCTTTTTTTTGTTGCTTCAGTTTCAAGTTTGATTCTCAATCGCATTTCCAGGTTTTCCTCTGCTTTGGAAACTCTGTGGCTTCGACCCGATTTCTGTTGCAAGATGAATTCAACATTCAAACAACAAAATGTGACAATTGCATTATTGTAATCTATCCCTTTCTCCATCTAATGTATCTTAATTACATTTGCACTTGCTGGTCATTGATTAAGCATATTGCTACTTGATGTTTAGGGTTTCATGTTTTGCCTGCAACAAATTGCCTGTATATTTTCCATTGTTGCATTGATTGTTGGAAGTGATGAGATTCAAGATGCAGCACAGTTACTGAACTGTTTGGCCGATATGGTCTATTGCACGTAAAGTATACTCTCTATCTCTAGCTAAATTCTGCCTACAGACAATACACTGACGATCTGGTTTTATTGTCTTTTGCAGGGTCTGTGCATGTATGCAGGTAAGAAGAGTTTCAAAACATGCAAATTGGCATTTGTGTTATCCTTATTTTGAACCATTTCTTAACTTTTGTTTGACTACAGACACAACATAAGATCGAAATGGACAAACGAGATGGAATGTTCGGTCCTCAACCAATGGCAGTACCCCCTGTTCAGCAGATGTCTCGCCTTGATCAAGCAATTCCTCCTGCAGCTGGCTATCCACCAGCAGCATATGGACAGCCTTATCAACAGCCTCAAGGTTTCCCACCATCTGGATATCCTCCTGCTCAGTACCCTCCAACTGGCTATCCAGCACCTGGTTATTCTAGGTGATCTTTCTCTGGTTTACAATTTGGTTTGAATCGCCTGAGCCTGGGTTACGAGTCATGGATGGAAATTCAATGTTGCCTGTTGTTGGGGTTTATATATATATATATATATATATTGTGGGATTTGCTTTTCACATTGCTGATTTGAACAGCTAAAGGTTTAAACTTTGAGACTACAGCTTGTTTATTGTCAATAACTTTTGTTTACTTCATGTTTCTACAGTCGAGTGTTAATGTTTATTCATTAAATATATCTTCAATTTTTTGGTATGTAAAGCATCATTGTTGAAATTTCATTTCGCCTGGTAGTTTCTCTCTACAGATTCTATTAACCCACGTTATTGAACTTATAGACTTATAGTTAGGGATGGATATTTCATCCGGACGTGATAGGTTCCGACCTAATCTAATTGGGTTGATCTTTTTGTTGTTGAATACTTGGGTTTGGGCCAATTATTATGAAGTTGTGGTTGGATCAGGTTTGGATTTAGAGAAAGGAAATTCAACCTAACATATATTATAATTATCTCTTTTATATTTAGAGTTAATTGTAATAATATTTCCTTTCTAAAATAATTTTTTATACTAGGTTCTTATTTTACCTAATAAAAATACTTATATATATATATATATATATATATATATTTAGGTCGGTTGGATCGGAGGATACTTTTGACCTAAAAGTCGAATCAAATACAGATAAAGGAATTTAATTTTTAAATCTTATTTGGATGAATTAAAATTTTGATATGATCTAACTCATAGTCATCACTGATTATACAACAAAACTAAGGTAAACGAAAGATAACAAGGGAAATCAAATAATTATTTTGGCGCCATATGTCACATCTAAAATGGCTGCCACACTAACACATGATATGGCCTTTATGGACACATCTAAAATGGGTGCCAACTGCCACATCAGACCCCTCTTATGGTGGTGAGTATGGTTGAGAATAGGGACCCGAATATGAATTTTGGGGAGTAGGAAAGGCAGGATGGATGATGGGGGCAAAGGTAGGCATTTGAATTCGATGATGTTCTGATTCAGCAAACTGTTAATCGTTTAATTAATAGCTTAGAGAACCGAATTGAATAAGTTAGTGAGGATGGTAATCTATAGTGCATGATTCTGAAATTTAGAATTAACGTGGATTCCTTTTTTTATCTTCATCAGTCATTTATGTCTCTTAAATTTGCTGACGCTGCGAATAATTGGTAACATTATTTCGAACAAGTCTTTGTTGGCAAGAATTGAATGGGCCCAAGTAGCTCTGGAAAAAGTATAATAGTAGCTTAGCTGATCAGTACACTTGTTTTCCTCACAAAAAATGTGATGAATTTCTTTAATCCAACCTTCTTCACAGTCTCTTATCAAAACGTTTGTTGGGCGATCCTCCACTGTAATTCCGTTTTAACACCAAGTTCAACTACTAGATCCTTTACTAGGATCAATTCTCGCCTAACTCTTCATAATTCTGCTATTACATTACATATATTTTTCAATCTTCATCAAGAAAATGTATACCCGACTATCATTTATGCCATGGATCAGACCACATGCTGAAACGAGGTTTGAATTATTTCATGGATGGCGAGGTGTCTCTTAATTTTTCTGGCATGAAACAAATGTATAAAGTATGACATTTTATACTCTATGGTGAGCATGCAAGCACAAAAGGAGTAAGAAAACAATACTAAATGAATACAAGTCACATGATACCCATATGTAAAGTTTGGTGTTCTTTCTGAATTTTATGAGTGGAAAGACCCAAGGGATAAGAAGAATTAAAATGGAAGGCAAAAGACAAAAGGCAAGTTGTGATGAAAAGCAATTTTTATATAAAAATAAAATACAAAGAGACAACTCCTCAATTTGTCCTCCTCTTAAGTTTTACCCAATAAATAAATATGTATATGTTTATTAAATTAAAAACTTGCTTTGGCTTGTGACTCGTGACTCGTGACTCGTGACTTGGGAATTGGGATCACTTGCTTTCTCCTCCTTCACATGCCCACTACTCGACCACAAATCTTTTACTTTTCCAGCTTGCCTTATCATTTTGTAACGACCCTTTTACGTAATGGTAATTTATTAAAATTTGATTATCATTGCATTTAAATTATGTTGTGTTGTTTTTTATTTTATATCTAAAATATTATATTTATGCATATTTTATATTTGATATCATATATAAGATAACGTATTTATATTTTAGCTTAATATAAAAATAAATGTTCAAATTATAATTTTTTAACGTGTTGCTTAAACTTTTTTCGGTCAATCCAAGTGTTTAACGTTACAAATGTTACCACTTTAGGTTTCTTCGCTGTAACAGCCGTTAAAAAACACTGTTAAGTGACATGTGTCACGTTTTGATAATTTTAAAAAATTTATTTTTTAAAAAAACTTTAAAATATTATCAATTTTTAAAAAATATATATAATTTCTCCAAAATTACGAGAAAAAAAACTTGAATTCCTAAAAAGACCTAAAATCAACCCCAAATCCATAACTCAAACTTACCATCTCCCTTGTCGTCATGGTCACTGTTGCTAATGATGTCATTTCCATCTCTTTTGTGAGTCGTCATCATCCTTACCATCGAGATGGTTGTTGGGGTTGCGTTGTGTCGCAATTATAGAGCTTTGTTCTTCTTCGTCTATTCGCGATTTTAGGTTCGTCAACTCCTGTCAACTCATGTTATGGTGGCTATTCGTCGGGAAAATAGTTGTTAGGTGCAGGCTTGGCCGGGTGAAGGTTCGATCGATGGTAAGGGTGGCTGTCGATATAGGTATAGAGATCAGACTTAGGGTTTTAAAGTTTGGGGGGTAAGATTTTTGAAAATTTTGGGGTTTTTAAAATAAAATTTTTAAAATTACCCGAACGTGACATGTTCCGCTTAATGGTGAAATTTAACATCCGTTATGGACCAGGCATCTAAAGTGATAATGTCTGTAACGTTAGACACTTAGATTGATCGAAAAAAGTTTAATCGCTCCTTATAAAAGAGGGTATTATTTGATATAATGTTAGGTTTTTAAAAACTTTGATATCTCATATTTCAGTCTCATTATAAACAAAAACATATGAATTCTTTTCGTATATATATATATATATATATATATAATCTAATTTAACTCTCATCATTTATGAAAATTATTCAAAATTTATTATGATTTAAATTTAAATGTATTTTTGATTATCAATTTAATAAGATATTGTAATGATAAATTATTGTTATAATCATTTGAATTTAAATTGGTTGTGATTTAATTATAATAATTTTTATAGTATTTTCTCTTTTTATTATATATTTCAGTTATTAAATTTAACATTTAAAAACAATTTACATGTTGTTGTCGCGAGGTATTATAGATAAATAGTATTTATATACACACAACAGGTGAGATAATGGTTTATAGTAGTTTAGATAATGAGAAAAAATGATAATTAAGTCAACGATTTATGATTTATTTTTTTTAATTTAGGTGGTGATCCAAACGATTATTTTGTATAATCAAGGGGTAAGATTTTTTATCTCTCAGTTGAGAAATTATATGTCTTAAGTATTTGATGGTCATATGATTATCATGAGATTAGATTAAATATAGAACTATATAGATTGATTTTTTTTGGTAAATTAAAGTTTAAATCAGGAGTGACTCTCCCAGTCTATGATCAGGACATGCTTAAAATTCGATTCAATTAGAATTTATATAGGAATTTATAAATTGTCCATCAAAAATGAAATATTTAAATCACAATCACTTTTGCCAACTCACCCTAATATATTTATTCTATGACTTGACGTGTGAATTTACCAAGTCATAAGAACTATTTATTATTAAACTTTATAGATAGTTTTAAGAGAAATTTTCTAAAATAATGAAATGTGACAAAAGGTACGACTAGTAATCACTTTTTCATCATTATTTATGAGAAGTGAAGATTATTTGAAGAAGTGGTAAAATAAAATGTTGATATTTTAAAAAATCTTGAATTTGAAAGGATACGTGTATTATCAATATACTAAATTTTTTAAATAAATATTATTTTATAATTTTCTTAAATTATTAAAAAACATATATTAAATTTTGCAACTTCAAAAACTCATGCTTATACAAAAATCTTTTTACAACCAAAATAAACAGAATTAATTAATAATAATGATAGGGAGTAAACTTGTGATGAAGGTGGGGGAGTGTGTCCCGATGAAAATAATCCCAAGAAAAGAACGCAGAATCCCAAATCAAGAGTCACAAATTGCACACAAGAACAATACCAATCCTGCCTATTGAAGCAAATGAATGACTAATTTAGAAGCAAAAGACAATCCAACTTTCCATCAAATTCCATGCAATGGACACTGTATAAACTGAGAAAGAGTGAGTGACCCCAAAACAATGGTGGCCCCTCCATGTGGGTTTGCCCTGCTCCTTCCTCCTCTACCCTTTTGCCCTTCTTTTTTTTAATCTCTGTAACAACAACAATCCGCCTCATATTCATAGTAAGCAGCATAATAAAAGTTAAACCTCATCTCTCTCCCTCTCTCTCCCTTGTGTTTACATTTAATGCTCCGTTTCAGATATAGGCTCAAGCTCATGTCTTTTACCTGATTTCTCAGTTTTCCTTTTTGTTGGGGTTCCACACCCATTTTTAATTGCTTTTGCTGAATGTTAATGCTGTGAACTAAAGGACAATACAATACAGTCAAAACTCCAACTGCAGCCGGAACGCATTCAATACTATTTCATGGCAACAACTACAACTACAAAACCATCATCTGCTCAGCTCAAAGTCCAAGTCCAACCCACCAAGCCTAAACGCCGCAAGTGTAAAGAAACCACCATTTCTTCCTCCGTTGCTGTTGCTTCCACCACTGGTAACGACTCCTCTGAGTTGGATTTTCACGGAGTTTTAAGCCGGAAACTCGACTCGCCCACCTTTGTTTCCCCTGATAGCTCTTGGTGCTGTCCCGCTGCGAAACCCCTCCCAACTCCCCCTCCTTCTCCACCTCCGCTTCCGCCGCAAACTCGCCGTGTTGGGGACCAAGGGTTTACTGATTCTTTGTCGGGTTTCAGGATCCGATATTCTCCGGGAAGTGTGCTACCTGTCATGGACTTCACGGGCGGAACAATGCTCTCCAATGGTCATTCTCCGTCGAGTTTCAACAAGTTCAACTCTGCCCTCACGGCGGGTCTCTTAAACCCGATGTCCCCTCCGCCTCCAGCGGACAAGATACGGTCCAGCCCCACCCTTTTCGAAATGATGGCTAGCGAGCCCGATATCCATCAAAGAACCCAAAACCAAACTCAGATCCAAGTTTCGACTTCAGCTCCAAGACAAAACCAACCCCCGCCTGTTATAGATAAGCAGGTATTGACCATGCAACGAATTTCGTATCTTTTGTCGACTCGGAGCCCCGGGAACCAGTTTAACGAGCCGGGTTCGAGTGATATAAAGCTGACCTTGAGTTCCAAGGATGGGCTCAGCGTGTCATTGAACGTGCACCGGCAAATACTAGTGGCTCACAGTAGGTTTTTTGCGGTGAGGTTATCGGATCGATGGACAATGCAGCAGAGGAATGGATCAGCTGGGCCGTACATTGTGGAAATAGCGGATTGTGATGACGTTGAGGTTTATATAGAGACCTTGAGATTGATGTATTGTAAAGATTTGAGGAAGAAACTAATGAGAGAGGACGTGTCTAAGGTTCTTGGAATTTTGAAGGTAAACTTTTAGCTTTTCATTTTAATTCTTTTATTGTATTTTTGTATACTTGAGAATTGGTATGAAGATTAGCAGTAATAGTTTCAGTTCCCTTTTAAACTGTGAGCTTGTGACATAGCTTGGAAAAAAGTTGAAGATCGTGTTCTTCATTCTTTTGTTGTATATTTGGTTCACAACACCTAAAGTGGGGATTGGATGATTTTGTAACTTTTTACTGTTGAAATGGTTGCTAGTGTGATGTTTTTCCTTTGTTAGGTTTCAGCGGCAATTGGATTTGATGCTGGGGTTTTGTCGTGTTTGGAGTACTTGGAAGCCGCCCCTTGGGCTGAGGATGAAGAAGAGAAAGTAGCTTCTTTGTTGGCAGAGCTCCACCTCGAAAACGTTGGAGCTGGGGACGTTTTGAAGAGGGTTTCTGTTGAAGTTACTAATGGAACTGATGAGGGTGATGATAATGAACAAGTGCTTCTCAAGCTTATGAATGTGGTTCTTGAAGGCAAAGATGAGAAAGCAAGGTGTGAAATGAAACGGTTGGTCTTTAAGATGCTTAAGGAGAATTCATCTCATAATGATCTCCGGAAAGAGTCTTTATATTCAGCTTCTGATGGCTGTTTGGAACTGCTTCGGTACCATTTTATTCGAGCAGCATCAGCTGATTTGCAGGATGCGAGTCAGATTGCAAGACAAGCAAATAATTTGCACTGGATCTTGGACATTTTGATTGATAGACAGATTGCTGAAGATTTTCTAAAAACATGGGCTTCTCAATCTGAATTATCTGATGCTCATTCTAAAGTTCCAGTTGTCCATAGGTTTGAAGTTAGCAGAGTTACTGCACGGCTATTTGTAGGAATTGGGAAGGGGCAGTTATTGGCATCAAAGGAAGTAAGGTGCCTGCTTTTGCAAACATGGTTGGTTCCATTTTACGATGATTTCGGGTGGATGAGAAGGGCATCGAAAGGCCTTGATAGACATTTAATCGAGGATGGTCTTAGCAACACAATTCTCACTTTGCCTTTGGCTTGGCAGCAGGAAATTTTGCTCGCATGGTTTGATAGGTTCTTGAACTCCGGTGAAGATTGTCCCAACATTCAAAAAGGTTTCGAAGTTTGGTGGAGGAGGGTTTTTTGGCGACGTGGTCGTGAAGGAGAACAACCAAGGCCAGTACGAGTTGCAACGGCAACCATTGAGAACTCATAAAGTTCCTATGTCCATGGTGCAGAACCAGTGGTGCACTTTAATGGGTCTGTTGTTCTCATTTTCACAATGGTTTGGTCTTCATTCTACACCAATGGCTCATTTATTTTCTTCTTCCTCTCTAAACTGTGGCTCACAATCGTGTGGAGTACTCGAGTTCTCGTATGTAGGTAATGTAATTGTATTGTCATATTCATATATATATGTAGTAAATTAGAATTCAACCAAACCATCATTTCTCAACCTCTTTAGAACAATGGAACCAAGAGGGTGTTAAATTTATGGCATTATGATGTTAGACTAACATGTGAAAAATCCGGATTGCAGAATGCCGAGCATCCTGTTAGAGAGAAGAGGACACTACTTTTGGTGGGTTGATGATGTGAGGAAAAAACTCATTTACCGTATGTATGTAATTATTATGTATTCTTTACAGAAAGGAAAAGGATGCTAGGGAATAACTTGTTAACGGGTTGAGGGAACGAGTATAACCCAGGTATAGGTTTGGAATATAGCTTGTTACTTGGGCAAAACTATACTTTCCTTGAACGAGGATTCTGGTTTTTCATTTTAGAACAGAAGATATTGGCTTGCGGATTTAATCATTAATTCTTTTTTCTTTGAACCAATCATCCTTGATTCTCAATAGCAGTTAAGGTGGCACTTGGATTTATATTATGTTTTTGTATAATTTTTTCGTGTTTAATGTGTTAATCATAACTGTTTACAACTCATTCATGTCTTGTTTGGATTTATGAGGATTTGAGTTTGTCAACGTAATTATTGATTAAAACAAACTAGGATTCAGTCTATATTTAAGGAGAGTCTAAAATACAACTTGTTAATGTAAGGTTAGAAATGGTAAAAATTCGTTACAATCGAAAATGTTATCTTTACATAATATTTTCAGTTACTGAAATTATTACAAATTGTATAAAATTTTCAGTTGTAAGCCCTAAAATCACTGCAATATAATATTTCCGGTTGCAATCGAAAATATTATAAATTTGTATAACTTTTTAAATTGAACAGGATAATATTTTAAGTTGAAAATCGTTATAAATTTATCTTAAATTAGTTGTCGCACACCAAAACCACCCTTATATCTATAAGTGTGTTTCCATTTATAACATCTAGAGCTGTAAACAAGTAGAGTTTGAGTAGTAGACTCAACTTGAAAAGTTTAAACTTGAGCTTGATTCAACTCGAAAGCTTTCGAGTTCAAAATTTTTATGTTCGACCCGAAATAAAAAAAATTGAAGCTTCACTCGAACTCAAAAAAACGTGAACTCGAAATATTCTCATATTTAGCTTGACTAAAGCTCGAACTCGAGCTTACAATTGAATTTTAAGTACATGAAAATCTTATATTACATTAAAAAACCCAACAACATATAAATGTTAATTTTATTAATAATTTAATATAAAAATTAATATATTATTTATTTGAGTTGTTCGTGAGATTTTCGAATCCAATATAATTTGTTTTCAAAGTTACTTTTACATTAGAGATTGGCATTTGATTATACAAATTTCTTTACTCTGATATATGATTTGTTTTTGGATAATTAAGCTTTTATTACCCAAAATAATAGAGTGTTGCTACAAAATAATACAATCAAAGGAACAAAAAAGGGGAACTTATGTACAACAAAATTATACTATACCCCAATTCTTACATAGAGCCAAATTTGTGCTATCATTTCTATTAACATTCCTATTACTCAGAATAGTTCCTACAATCTCCTTAATGATGTTGATAATTTCTTCTTCACTTCTGAATTTCCCTGCGAAAATTCTTCAGTTTCTTTTCTCCCATACGGTGTAATTAAAAGCACACCAAGAGAGCTTCAAAATACTAGAAATCAGAGATCTACCTTTCCATGAGATGGCAGCCCACTCCAACAGGTTGGACCAGGAAGAGGAAGGTCTGTTCAAACCAGATAGATGGAGCAGTGACCTCCAAATGGAATCAGTCTCCATACAGGTGGCGAAGAGATGGTCTCTAGTTTCATTTTCTTTAGAGCAGAAAATGCAAACATCATTAGTAACAAGCCCAAAACGTTGCAATCTTTCTTTAGTTGGGAGCCAATCCAAGATAGCCATCCAAGAAATTATGCTATGCTTCGGGACATGAAGAGGAAACCATATCAGATTATGCCATGGGACTTTGTTGTCTTTGGGCCGAATCTCTTCCCAAATTTGTTTTGTGTTATTTGCAGAAGACACAAGCACTGGTATGGTTATGAATCGTAATTTCAGAATTCGCCTGAAGATCTAACATGAATTCAACGGTTCATTCATGGTCCAGAAATCTTGATGTTTGATAATGTATTTGTGTATCTAGGCTACCCAAAGTGAGTCTTCCCCAGCTAGAAGTTTTCTGGTCAAATGAATCAAGCACACAATATTCCAGCATTTGATATTCTTAAGACCTATACCTCCTTCTGACTTAGGATTACAAATTTTTACCGTGCTCACCCTTGCTCATGCACCTGTTGTGTCTGAGCCTTTCCAGAAAAATATTGAGCACAGTTGCTCAATCTTTTTGATAATAGATTGAGGTAAGATAAGTTGCCTACACCAATAATTAGTAACGCTATAAAGAAAAATCTTAATGAGCTCGACCCTTTCTGCATAACTCATCTTCTTCCTAGACCATTGGTAAAGTCTATTCTTGATGTTGTCAAGAAGAGCTTGACAATCTTTTTCAGTTAGCTTCTTGGTGATCAGGGGAACTCCCAGGTAACTAACAGGTAGTCTACCATGTTTAAAGCCAGAAGAAATAATGATAGTATTAAGGGTGTGAAGAGAAATGCCAGCAGTGAATATCTCGCATTTTCCTGCATTAAGTTTTAGCCCAGAAAACTCATAAAAGCATTCCAAAACAGTAATGACACCCATAACAGACTCAAGATTACATTTTCAGAAGATTAATAAGTCACCAGTAAATGACAAGTGGGTGAGTCTAATTTTCTTACATTTAGGATGAAAGGCAAACATCCCTTTAGAAGCAGCAGTTTTGAGAAGTTTGGACAGAACATTCATAATTAGAACAAATAAAATAGGGGAGAGAGGGTCACATTGTCTAATCCCCTTCGCTCCCTAGAAATAACCAATCAAGCTTCCATTGAAGGCAATTGAATATCTAGCATTCGAATAGCAAGCAATAATCCAATTAATGACTTTAGTAGGGAATTTCAGGGCTTTAAGAACTACAGAAACGAAATCCCAATTGATGGAGTCAAAAGCCTTTTGAAGATCAATTTTCAAAGCACAACTTGGTGAAATGATTTTCCTCCCATATCCTTTTACAATCTCCTGGGCAAGGAGGGAATACTTCTACCATTGACAAAAGCATATTGATTAGGAGCTATAATCCTTGGAAGCAAAGTAGTCATCTTATTGATAAGAATCTTAGTGATGGTCTTGTAAATCACAGAACAACAAGATATAGGACGAAAATCAGAAACTTTGCTTAGATTAGGCATTTTAGGAATCAAAGCAATAGTGGTCGAATTAAAGGCTGGATAAATGTAAGATTCTTGAAAGAAGTATTTTACAGCCTTAATAACATCATTACCAACCACCAACCAAGCTTTTTGTTTTGAAGAAAAGAGATGAGAAACCATTAGGGCTTGAAGCCTTGTCATTACCTTGATTGAAAATAACTTCTTTAATATTCTCATTGGTAACTTCATTAGCTAGAATTTCATTGTCTTCCAAAGAGGAAATAGGTTGAATCAAGTCTTTAAGGAGAGAATGAGAGCAGGCTTTGACATTAGGATCATGAGAACCTAATAATTTTTTGAAGTAATCGATAATTTCCAATGACATATCATTCGAAATATTCGAGTCTATTCCCCTGATTGTTGACCAGGACCCTTAAAATATGTTTTTTGTTCATAATAACAATGAAGATTGAAAAACTTTTGTACACCTGTCGCCTTCTTTAAGCCAATGCACTTTAGCTTTTTGTTTCAAAAACATAGACTCAGCTTCTTCTAACGAGTTGAACTCTCTCTGCAACTCAAGCTCTTTCTCCAATGGATCATCACCTTTTAAGGTAAGAAGTTGCTGCAATTCGAGTTCTTCTCTCTTTTGTAGGACTCGAGCTGAAATGTCACTAAAGTAGTCTTTATTGAGATTTTTAAGACTAACTTTGAGACGTTTAAGCTTTATGAATAAAGTCTTCATTGGATTGCCTATGGTCTTCATATTCCAAGATTGACTCACAATTTCAAGGAAATTTGGATGAAGTGTCCAACAGTTGAAGAATTTGAAAGGTTTGGATCTGTTAACTTGGACCTCTTTACTAAGATCCACCATTGCCATGCAGTGATCTGAAGGACCAGGTACCATGAATTCCACATAAGAGTGAGGGAAAGATTCTAACCACAAAGGGTTGATTAAAACTCTGTCTAATTTCCGAGCTAAGTATTTTTCACTTTGTTTTTTGCTCCATGAAAAGGTTGGGCCAAAGTAAGAATGATCTTGTAATTGAAGGTCTTGGGTAGTTTCTTGAAACTCTAACATATCTGAAAAGGTGATCATACCCGTATGCTCATAATCCGAGCTCTCATAATTGTGCATAATGACATTGAAATCATCTCCCAAGATCCAAGGGAGGTTACTAAAATTTGATTCAAGATGTCTAAGGTCTTGCCAAAGCTGTCTTCTTAAAATTCCATTATTACTGTCGTAGATTGCAGTAATAATGAAAGGATCTTCATTGAACAGTTATTTGATAGTGATACTTTAAGCCGAAACATAACATAAGAAGAGATCAAGCCCTTTTTTCCACAATAGCCAAATTCTTCCATTCTCAGCAAAATCATAATTGTTAATAGAATTCTAATTCTCAAAGGAAGTAGCTAGGATATCAGCTGATTGTTCAACTTTCACAAGAGTTTCCATCAAGCAGAGGATATCAACATTATTTTTGGATGCCCTTCTAAGGACTTTGCCTTGTTTAAGAGGGTTGTTTAACCCTCTTACATTCCAGAAGGATATAATCATTTTCCTTGTGAAGAGGAGCCCGAGTCCCCTCCTTTACTTCATACTGTAGAAACCTTAGGTTTTTCAAGGTGAGCCTTCTTTTTTAATTTAAGTTTTTTGATCAGCTCAGCAACACCTGAAGTTGCAGCACTAGCTTTTTTATCTTGATTCTCTAAGGAAGATTGAACCTCATCAATCGAGTTAAGTAATTCAAATCTGTTGCTAGATCATGCGAAAACTTTGTCAGCCTTAGTTGGCCTTCCACTGCCCCTCTTAGTATGTGTTGGAAGATTTAAAATGCAATCAACATTCTTGCCAAACTGATCAGGAAACTTATCGTTTTCTCCTGCTTTAAGGTCTGGAGCAACTTCTTAATCATTAACAATGGA